TGTTGAAGCAGTATGTATACTGAGTTGCAGGAAAATAAAATCTTGTGTGTGCTCAGTCATGTCCACCTCTTGGTGACCCTATGGACTGTAACCCTCTGGGCTCCTCTGTCCATGGGATTTTCCAGGAAAGAATGCTGGAGTGGGTGGGTTGGTTACCATTCCCTTCTCTAGGGGATCTTCCCCACCCAGAGACAGAACTCTTGTATCCTTCATCTCCTGCATTGGCAGGTGGATTCTTTGCCACTGAATAACTGTTGATTAAAAAAAAAAATTGGACCATACACCTGGGTAGAGTTGGTGTTAACTGGTGAGCTGTGACACACAGTGTAAGAGCTGTTGTCGTACAGGACGAAGCCTCAAGTTTGACAGAGAGGTGTGGGGAGACCTCTGTGATTTGGCCCCTGTCTGTGTCTCTAAGCTTTCTGCAGCTCACACTTAGAAACTTTAGTCATGCTAGATTAATTGCAGTTCCTTGCATAGGACTGTCATTTCTTAGCTACTCAGCTTTGCTTATGCTATTCATTCTGCCTGGAATATCTGTTTCTCTCCTTTTTTCCCTTGGTGGCCTCCTACTCATCCTTTATGGTTAGTTCAGGCATCTTCCTCCTTTGGGTGTGTTAAGACTGTGTGTATGTGTGCATGTGTGTGTGTGTGTGTGTGGTATTTACATGGCATATTCTCAAAGTTCCCTCCTATGAGTTCCCAGGGGAGAGAGAAGGTCTTAATTGTTTTTCTTTCCACAGATATAAGTTCAGATAAGTTTTTTGTTGAATGGAGTAGAATTTAAGCGCCTCAACTTGGTTATCTCAAGCGCAATGATAGGAGATAGAAGCAGTGGGTAATGGTTCTGTGGAAAGTAGTTTAAAGAAAAAAATTGTAGCGATTTATGGAAAACCTATAATAGGGCATATTTCTAAATCAGAGAGACAATTAACATAAAATACCCCTTTGAGTAACTTGTAAAAGAATTGCCTCTTTGAGAAGGAATCAGGGCAAGATATTCAAAAACAATTCCATCTAGACACAGACCAAAGTTAGCTTTTGTGAGTTCTTCTCAAAGCCAGCCAATCAGAGGCAAGGTGCCCGCACCCCTTTCCCCTTTTGATTTGTGGTTCCTATGGCAATAGGAAGAGAGCCTAGGACATTTCTCTCCTGCCTCTGTTAATAACTTTGCTTTTGAAAAATGCCAAAAGCTATTATTCTTTTTGTCCTTACAGCATTACAGTGTCTCTCAGCATAGTGGCCCTGATTTTGGTTTTTGATTATACAGTGTGTATGACAAAATTAATAAACACTGTCAGTTTCCTTGATTAATGTTATTTTCTTTGGCTATACAACATATAAATATAAATCAATCTAATTGGTTATTTGCTCTTCCTGTTAGAACCCCATGTGAATTAGTTCCTGTTCTTTGTGGACAACCCTAAATTAGAGTATTGTTTGCTAAATGTGAAAATAAAACAAACATTTCTTAGGGGTTTTATACCCCTTAAGCATCTTCATTGTGATCCCACTGTGCTTCTCTTGAGCTCCAGGCTGAAATCTCAAGAGGAAAGAGGCTTAGTTTGTTTTGTTGTTAGCTTAATAAGTAGGTCAATAAGTGTTTCTTAAAATTGATAAATACCCATGGTATCAGGATAAGTTCTTCAGACATATTTTAATAATGAGATAATGTTCCAAAAGTTTAAAGATAGACCACTGTTAGCTTTTTAAAAAAAGAAAGAGAGATAATAGTGTGTGGCGTGCCTCTATGAAGCTCACATGAAGAGAGCTTTGCCTTATTCAGTGAAAGAATGATGGATAATCAGTTATTCCATAATAGTCAACATGAATTCTCAATCAGGTCCCTAAGTTTAAAATTAGCAGCTTCAAGAATCCATTACTGCTTGTGGTCAAAGCTGCATTTTAATGCTCTTAGGTTGATAAATATGGAACTTTTACGTTTAGCCATGCTTTACAAATAGATCAATGTCCTCTTGGACTGTTAGCCCTAAGAGTAGCCTTATTTAGACTAGCAAGCATAGGCGTCTTTATTAAAAGATGGATGTATTTCCTAGAGTGGCATTTTCTGTTGAGTAAAAACTATTTTTCAGTACTGTGGTTGGTTATTTAGCTCCAAGGTAATTGACTGTGAAAGTAGGGCAGTTCTAATATTTGTTATAAATACTGGCATCACTCTCTTTACTCCAGAATATCTTCCATGGGTGTTATAAAGATTAAGTTCTTAGAAACTGCACTGTCTTTAAAAGTCTTTTTCTGAATATACAAGTTCAATGTCAAGCTTTAAAAAATACCTGTAATAAATATTTAATATTTTGAAATTAGGTTCTCAGGTTTATTTTATGTTGTTTTCCATATTTTTATAAGTATTAATTAGGTCATTAGATGATTAGGAAACTACTCACTACTTTTCTTCTTTGGGCTTTAGTTTCTTCACTTCTGGGGGCGGGGGAGAAATTTGAACTAATTGGTCCAGAGCTCACAATCCATGATTCTTTGATTTAGCGAATGTGAAAATTGGTCTCTCTCTCTCTTTTTTTTTTAAGTTTTGGATCTCAGGTTATTAGCAGAACCTAATCAGAATACATTACTTTATGCCTTCATGGTTTTTACCCTTTGAGGTAATTACATGCTAAACTCTGCAGCGGGAACCTGTTTTTACTGAGTCAATGAAAATTGATTTGCAGATGAGTTTTGTTGTTAATTTGGTATTAGTTGCTGAATACAAGTGTAATCCTTGAAGTCTGTTCTCAGGTCTAAGTGATTCTGTGATTTGGATAACTACAGAGTTTCCAAAAAGGGAACTTAAACTGAACCATGAGGAAATTAAATAATCTATGTAATCTACGTATATATACACATGTAATGTGTTTGGGCATTTTCTGTGCTCTAAATGTTTTGCTAGATATCTCTGGATGCAGTTTGTTGTAGTGGAAAGAAAACATGTTTGCTTAGAGTCAGACAGGATTAACTTCTTGTCCTAGTTCTGTCATCAATTAGCCCTTGTTTTCTTGCACCTTCAAGAAGTTGCTGTTTAAACAAATCAAGCTCTGCTTTCGTGATCTTTGGTTTCCTCATCTGTAAAATGGAATCATACTTGTCTTACAAGGGTTTTTGTGAGGGTTTACTATGTCAACTGTCTGGCATATAACAAACTGCCTTGATAAATGGCAGCTATTGTCATTATATTATCCAAACATTTGTTCAGCATCTTTTATGGCACTCTTTCAAAGTGTTGGGGTGATGACATATGTATGCCTGGAGTATCAGTGATATAATTCTACCATATTGGCTATGGGAAGCTTTGAAATGGAAGCATACTATTGGAAATACATGGTATTTTCTTCATTACCAAAAACCTGCTCAGTTTTTTATTCCATTTGAGTGCACTGGTTTCGTATTCTTTAAATGCGTTTTCCCAATAATCTCAATACTCTATTACATTATAGGTGGGATTTAACTAGAAAGTACAGGTGGTGGATTGGCAGGAACCCAGGCTTACCTGAGTTCTAGCATAACGGTCTTTGTTTATATTGTAGTTGGGGTAACCATAGAATTTACCTCCCGAACCAGAACACTTTTGAGAGTGAAAGTTATGCTGAGACCGGTGTAAACTTGGACTGTCCCAGGAAAGTGGGTATATTTAACCATCCTAATTATAGCTAGAATAAACAAGTCTATGAGGTTGGGTCTGAGACTTCTGGAGTATTTTGGTTGAACCCAAACACCCACCTTCAGATTTTTTTATTTTTGATTATTCATTTGCCAGGGTAAATTAATTGACCTTAGGTTTGACAAAGTACTTATTGAGTACCACAAATAATCTAATGGTTTAAAAATACTAGCTATGTTGTATTTGTTTATATTTTACTTTTTTTCTTAATTCCCTTAAAACCAGCAAGCTCTTAAAGAATAATGGGAATGGGTAAATGAAATAAACTTTTAATTCTTACTTGTGTTAAATGAACATTGCAAGCAAAGTCCAAAATGAAAGTCATGATTATTCTAAAGTTTTTTTTTTTTCCCCCTTTGGGAAGGCAGAGATCTGGGTGACACTCAAAATCAGATGTGTTTTTATCAGCTCTTTTGTTTCCTTTATCTATCAGTCTATCGCTCATCTTTCTTGTTCTTTTTGCCTGTGTCTTTAGGTCTCCTGTGATTTTATTTAGGGAAGTGCAAAAACTGTACCCAGATGATAAAGTTTCAGGTGATCAAAGTTTTTATAATAGGGGCATCATAGTTTTGTGGAATGAATGTGGGTTTTAATAGCGGCAACCAAAGTTTGAAATTCTGACTTTCCCCTCCTTTGCTGTTTGTGCACATGACTTGCCTTTGAACCTCAGTTTCTTGACACTGTGGTGTGGTGATTAGAGAACACATTTAAAGTGCCTGGCCCCATAGTAGGTAATGTAATGATGGCAATTGTAATTATACGACATAGACCAAAAACCACTGGGGCTTCCCTGGTGGCTCAGATGATAAAGAATCTGCCTGCAATGCTGGAGACGTGGGTTTGATCCCTGGGTTGGGAAGATCCCCTGGAGGAGGGCATGGCAACCCACTCCAGTACTCTTGCCTGGAGAATCCCATGGACAGAGGAGCCTGGTGGGCTACCGTCCATGGGGTCACAAAGAGTTGGACACGACAGAGCTGCTAAGCTCATGATGTTAGAGTCACAGTCTCACTGCTAATCTTGTTTTTCCCTCAAACTTTACAGTTCCCTTTAATGGGTTTCCACTGAAACATCTTTCTCTCCCTCTTGATTCTGCTCACTGTACCCTCCTGAGGAGTTAGTGGTTGGCAGCAGAAACCTCCTTTCCGTAGGACAGAAAGTGGGCCCTCTCCCAGGTTTCCGTAGTTTTGCTGGACTACCACCCCTGACCTCCAAGCTGCCATGGGTGCACCCCCTGCCCGACTAACATTCGAGTTGCCTGTGTGAAGGAGTGATTTGCGCGGCCTCTAACTGCTTCTTCTCTCCCTTCCTTTTTGTCACCCTGCAGTGTTCTGTGCCAAGGTCTTTGTGGCTAGGCTGCGCCAGCCTGGTAGAGAGCATGTGCGCACTGAGTTGCCTGCAGAGCATGCCCAGTGTCAGATGTCTCCAGGTGCCTCTCTTCTTTCTTGTTGTAAATGTGTTTTACGTATACCATGAACATTTGTTGAAACTTGCAGTAGTGTGTTTAATCCAATGTTAAGTCTGCTGAATGTTCTGTGTAACCCTCTGCTTTCCTCCAGCCTGGGTGCCCTACGTGGAGGAGTTCGTACCAGGAGGGGCCCTTCTGAGCAAATGGGTCTCTGGCTGGGCCCTATTCTGCTCCTCTTTTTCTGCTCCTGCTTTTTACCCTCCCAACCCCCACCTTGAATCTGTGATTCTCATGTTTAATAGTTGTGCATGTACCCCCAAAACCTTGACATTTTCCATTTGGCTACTTTTAACACTTCTTTCTTGAGTTGGGAGGGTTTCATAATTAAAGTGGTGATTTTTCTATTTTGAAACTCATCCTTTTGGCTTGCTTTCTCTCCCTCCTTCCACAAAGGAGTGGAGAGGGAATCACTAACAGTATAAAGCCTCAAATTGAAGTTTATAAAGATCACAGCTTTATGCTGGCAATAACTGTCAGTTTGGGTCACCTCCCAAAGACCAGATCTGACACCTGTCCTTAGGGTCCACCCAGTTTTCCAGGCCGAGGCTGGCAGAGAATTCCACAGATAAAAGTAAAACTCTTTGAGGGTGTGGGAGGGGTTGCTCCAATAAAAGCTATTAACAGGAGTGTAGCTGGACTGACCTCACGTATTGGGATGAATTCTAAGAGTCAAGGCAGAAAACATTGTGACTTTATTGGGGAAGCTCTGTTTAGAGAAAGCATGTGTTTAATTTAGTATGGTTTCAGTAGCGGTATTCAGTTTTCATCACTGTATATTCCAAACAGTTTGATATATCTTTAAAAAGCAGTATTGAATTCCTGGCATCCTGTTGAGACTGCCCTGTTTGAGGAAAACACTGTAGAATCAGGAAATGATTTACAGGGATCTTATTGATGGTATGGGTTTACTTTACTGTTCTCAAGGTAATCTTTCTATTCATGTTTACAATCTTTAAATGCACTTGGGGAGCCAGAAAGGGGGAAAATTTCCTTCATATTGGGATTGTGAACATTCTGAGCTGTGTTGGTGTGGTTATTGATTCAGATTGCTTTCTTTAGAAAACAGTTAACTTGAGAGTGAAGTCAATATAAGATCCAGCTGTCTTAGAGTCTGTATGAAAAGTAGAGTTAGGACTCTAAGGGTCCAGGGATTGGGTGTTTCAGTAATGCTCCAGTGTAATGCATATTTACTCTTGGAAGAGCAACTTCTCTGCATGTGATATAACTTTAACAAAAATGTTTTTGAAATAGCAGACTGAGATTATTGCATGTGCTCTCCTTGGTGCTAAATAATGGATATTTGCATTATAGTAATAGTGTGTACATCTTTGTCTTCTATTTTTCTGAAAATGCTTACTTGAATGTTACAGTTGCTTTTTAGTGTATTGATCCAGTTTTTATCCAGAAATTTAAGCAGACGAAGAATTGTAGTTGTTAATGACATCTGGAAGTGCAGATTATTTTTATTGCATTCAGTTAAAAGTAATTGACCAAATGGAAGGCATTATTCAGTATATTTTAGTAGCAGTATTGTGAATTCTCTGGAGTTGAGGTGAGTGGGAGGGAGCAAACAGGGTTTCTACCTTGAAAATGGAAACCCAGATAAGTTAATTCTTTGACTCATGTCTCCCAGTGAAAATCCTTTAAGAGAAAAAATATAAATGTTGCCTCCAATAGACCTTAAAATAAGGTGAAATATTGAGTGATATTCATTGAAATGTTAATGGAACAAATAGTGTCTTCAGAGGTGTATTGGGGAATTTTGTTTATTTAGATTTTTATTTTCTTTAGTTTATGGAAGAATATGCAGCACAGTAAAGTGAAATATGTACTCAGCTGATTGGAGTTAGCAAATCATTCTATTTTGCTCCATTTGTGAAAGGAAAGTAAACATATGTAAATGAACTTGGAAGACTTCTTCTTTGGTTTTATATATTATTTTAATTGTCTGCTTCCAGTATCCAAAACAAGTACTAAAAGTTAGTGACTTAATAGAATAGGGGCTTTTTCAAAGAATGCCTATTTCTTATAAGCTACATCTTATTTTTGTCACAAAGATGACTTCTGCATTCATATTCTCAGCAAGCCCATTTTAAGAAGGCCCTAGAAAAGCAGGAATAGGCTACTCGAAGAGCCTGATTGACTGTGCTGGAGCTCTGGCATTGCATGAAAGAGCCCCTTAAATGACCACAGGTACCAAGAAACAGTTCCAACATGAGCCAACTAGCCTGTCTATTGGCTGATACTTCGTACCTTTTGAAAAGCAGGAGTAAAGTTAGTGTTGTAGGTTCCTTTGGGCAGAATGTATTCCTCTAGTTTCTTCTGTTTGTGAGAGAGGAAAAGGAATGCTAAAGACTTAAAAAAATAAAAATCATTCATTTACCTCAATAAAACTGTTTAAAAAAAAAACCCTACTCACCACCAGTTGTAGTCAGGGCTTCATATATATTAGCTTTGTGACAACCCTAGGAGGTAGGTATTATTCCCATTTTCTTGGGTGTAGAAACTGGGTCTCAGAGGTGATATGTATGATTGGACTCAAGTTAATCTGTGAAGTGCTAGAGCTAGCATTTGAATCCAAGATTTGCGCGATTCCAAAATGACTTTCTTTCCTCTGTTCTGGAATGCTACTATTTCTAGAGTTTTCCATTTTAGTTTTGTTTGTAAAAACTTTGCTACTGAGATATCCGGTGTGTGACTTATTTAGTCATTATTTGAAAATAAAAAAAGAAAAACCTGCCGATTATCTCTGGAGGGAGGAAATTACATTCCCCTTACCAACCTGAGCCCTCCTGCATCTTAAAGCTACTGAGGTTGCTGAGTGGCTTTTCTGAGAATTCATTTCCGTGAGTATTTACTGAGCAGTTGGTATGTGCCAGGGCCTATATTGGTGCTGGGTATATAAAGATGAGCAGTGCAGATTTAGTCCCTGCTCTCTTGGAGTTCATTGTAGTAAGCAGACCTGTGGACAAAAATTCAGCCTGAACCACAAAAAAAGTCCAGGTGTGTATGTGTGTGTAATGAAATTCTGATGTTAGCCAAATATACATGCACATACACACACTTACATATATACACATACATACCTACTTTTAAAAACTGTGACTAACCCTCAACATTTTTTTAGAACAGTTGAACTAGGATATCTGAATGCCTCTGAACTAAGCTGAACTAAATCAATATTTCAGTTGGGTCAGTTATTCAGATTCAACCAGTTAATTGTTACATCATATAATCAAGAGTTCAGACCATGTATCTATCTATCACGTATTATATATGATGGTATAATTATCATTTAAGTATCAGATACGACTATATATATTATCAGTATCATAAAATATCCACCTTGTTTTTAAGTGTTGGGCTCTAGGTACTAGGTTGTCTCATTGAATTATTTATGGAGAAGTTGTCTAGTTTGGCTTTTTTGTATATGAAGTTATGGAATTTAATTGACTTGCCTAAGGTTGCACATCTATTTAGGTGGCAGAACTCGGTTAAGAGCCTGGATCTGGGGACTTCCCTGGTGGTCCAGTGGCTGGGACGCCGCACTCCCAGTGCAGGGGCCAGACTTTGGTCCCTGGTTGGGGAGCTAGATCCCTCATGCTCTAACTAAAGAGTTCCCATAATTGAGACCCTGCACAGCCAGATAAGTAAATAAACATTAACAACCAAAAAGCCGAGATCTGGATAACTGCAAAACCAGTGTTCTGGTCAGCGTGCTGTAGTGACCTTAACTTGGCAAGCTGCCATTTTGGGGTTGAAAAAAATTCCCTTTTATTTTTATCATTAAAAGTTGAAGGCTGGATGCACCTGGAATGTAGAGGTTCTGTGTAGGGAAGTGACATATTTTCTTGATAATGCCATTTACAAGTTCTCAGCTAGGGGGAGTGTTAGTGATAAGCCTTTTTAAAGAGTTGGGCTGATTTTGATGACTGAGATGACAGAAGGGATCCTGTGAATAAGTGTCAGTGCCTCTCTCCCAGCCCCGTTTGGAGAGTTGTCGTCCAGTCGCTCAGTGGCGTCGGATAGCCTGCCAGGCTCCTCTATCCCAGGGGATCTTTCCGACCCAGGGGTTGAACCCGCATCCCCTGCATTGGCAGGTGAATTCTTTACCACTGAGCCACCAGGGAAGCCCTGCTATGGAGAGTGTGGTGCAGCAATTAATAGAACTTTCTGACAGTTGCCTTTCTCATTTCTTTTCTATCCAGTATGTATAGTGATCCACACTGATCTGAGAACCCTACAGTTGGAATTTACAGCTACCAACATAAGAGAGTATTTTTTAGAGAAGGGAGACAGCTTGGTAGAAAGAATCGTGATTCTGGAGCAGATGCATCTCAATTCTCGTCTTCTGTCTGATGCTTAATAGCTCTGTGACTCTCGTTGGTCAAACTTCTTACTCTGCTGACCATCAGTTTCCTGATCCTTTACATGGATATGGTTACATCTGCCCACACGGTTTTATGAAGTAGAGGGAGATAGCATCTACACCCTACCATTGGCTGGCTGTTGAAGGAATAAAAAATCCATTTCTTTCATTGCGTGCCCCTGATTCCCTGTTTAAGAAGAGGAAGCCCAGCCTGACAGCCTCAGAGTCCAGGGCAGGATCAGAACACAGCGAAAGGCTGGGTGTATGGTATCAGGTGTTCTTGTTTTGTGCAGAGCTGTCTCCTTAGGTCAGACGTGGCTGTTCCAACTCAGTGTCTTTGTCTTTTTTTCTAGTAAATATTGGGGAATTATTATTTCTTGTTCATTATTTTGTTGAACTCTAGGGCCAATAATGGGAAGGCTTGAAATAACCTTTCAATGGTAGAGTGTAGTGTTTTATGAACATTAAAAACTTTTCTTTCTCTTTGTAAGAAAATTTACTCAATATAGTTTATTAAAAAAAAAAAAATCCATTGGTAGCCTCACCACCCAGAGAGAACATTTGTTGCTGTTTTAAGATCTCTTCTTCCTGC